GTTTGACCATTCGTCTTATTTAAAAATTTTATACGAATGTATAAGATATAAATCACACTTAAAATACTATAAGTGATAAAACAACTCATAACAAAATAAATTATAATTACATAAATTTTTTAAATAAGACGAATGGTCAAACATGTGAGAAAAAGTGAACGGCGTTATCTATTAAAAAATGGAGGTAGCATGTTTTATGGAATTCCTTTCCCATCCAAGGTACTCAGTGCTTCATATGTTATAAAATTTTATCAGTATTTAGAATTAAAAAAAACAAATGCCCACGCACACTACCCGACTTTCCATTCTGTGCTGGCAGCCGTGCCGGGCGTTAAATAATGCAAAATTCCCACCATCCTCTCGTCGGCACTGACCGACATTTTCTTCAAGTCACTTGTACTCATCTCCCTTCTATGCTGTTCCCTGGTCGTCTCACTGGCCGGAACACACACCGAATTCTTTAGTCAGTGCAGTCTCCAAGAGTGGCGATGGCTCCATGGCAGTGGATGGATCTCGCTTCCTCGTGGGTTGGTCTGTCATCCGAGAATGGGACGTGAAACTGGCATACTCCCTCCGTCAAAAAAAAAAAAAGACAAATCCTGGGTTTCCGTGTTCAACTTTAACTGTCCGTCTTATATGAAATTTTTTTATAATTTGTATTTTCATTGTTGTTAGATGATAAAACATAATTAATATTTTATGCTTGACTTATCTTTTTAATTTTTTCATAATTTCTTCAAATAAGACGGACAGTCAAACGTTAGACACGGAAACCAAGGTTTGTCTTTTTTTAGGACGGAGGGAGTAGGAGATAGCATGGCATTGTCGTGAAAGAACTTGAGCCGTGCATTTCCAGGTACTGACTAGTGATGATCTCAAGTGTTGTGCCCTTCCATGCGGCAACCTAAAATGGAGCCACCCCAAACCAAGAGAGCACTTTCCTAGTGCCTCCCATTCCCAAAAGGTGTGGAACTGGAGGGTGTACGCTCAATGCGTCTATGAAATTGCGCTTGTTGTGTGAAATGATATGAGGCATGCCATGTTCATTGCAAAGGGTTGACAGTGGAAGGAGAGAACTGAAGGGGCTCAAATTTTTTTATTAGTACAAAGTATATATCAGCGCATAGAGCGGTACATATTAAAACAGCCCAAGGCACGGAGCAGTAATGCTGCATAATGGCCCGGAATGGTTGATCAATTGGTACACAGTATTTATTTTACAATGGCGTTGCATTATTGAATATAAATTTTAAGGCACCAATTTATTTAGTGCCAAAAAAAAGCCAGAGTATGATGGGATGTTTTTTTATAAACTGTGCACACACATTATTAGTTATCCATGTATGATAAAAAGAAAGAACTAAGCCAATCAGAGGGGATGGATGGTTAGAATACCAAAAACAAAAATTAAATACCCTCAAATCAATGGATATCGGTCTGACCGCACGTCTTACACTGGTCTGATCTCGCGAATGCCGCCGGTCATATTGGTGTAGATCGACTAGTCTAACCGCCGTTGGCGCTGCCGTCACTTGTCACTGCCGTGAGAAAATAGTTTAAAAATTTTTAGAAAAACTCACTGAAATTGGTCTGATCGAGGATGTGCAACCGGTTTGACCAAGGATCATTCTGACTATTGGTACAACATCGAGCTAACCGTTCTCCACAAAGAAAAACCCTTTTCTATTTCTATTTCGAGCAAGTCTAAAAGAAAATCCAACCAAATGTACATCGTTACCAAACAGAACAAGTATACTTTTCTCGACAAGTCTTCGCCGTGACTGTGCAGACCAATATTGACATAATGGCACTCAGCGCCGGTGGCGCCACAGCCCTACATGGCGCGGCAATGCTGAGGGCAATGTTCCACAAGGAGATCCATGCTGCCGCTCTCCCTAGCTAGCAGCAGCGGAGGTGACACTAGCAGCTAAGAGCCCGTGAAGGACACGTCACCTTTCGTCTTCATCTCCAGAGAGCCGCACTCGTCACGATAACACTGCCAATTCTGCCAGTGCCATCGTGCGACACGATGACCACCATCGCCATCTTCAATCCTGTTGCTCTGGCGGCGGGTGTGGGGCCGGTGCGGGTGCGGGTGTGGGTGTGGTGACGCAATCGTTCTTGAGGAAGACAGAAGGAAGAAGATAGAAAAGGAAGGAGATGGATGAAAAATATGATGGTAGTAGCACGGTCCCAATTTTGTAAAATTTCAGAGGCACGACTACACATTTGCAATGGCAATAATCCAGCTTACATTTCATTTTTTGGGGGGCTTTTGGTCGGGTTATATCAGGCTAAATCCAATTGGTGGGATACGAGGCGCCTAGGCCTCATCTCACAGTTATGTTTATTCTTTATTTAAATTAGTCTTTTTAAGCTTATATACCCAAAGTTTATGCTTTAGTTCACGTACTCGAAGTTTATATACCCAATGCGAATTTGAATTTAAATTCAGATTAAAAAATTCAATGTATTTATTTATATTTATAATGTTTATGCACACAGATATTTTTAAACGTAGTTATTTTTTCTTTAGTTAGTATTTTATTTCTTCTATCAAACTAATTGTTTAACTTTGTTTCAAAACAAATCTAAATGTGCACGTGGTAGGGAGAAGAAAGTTGCAGTGTCTGGTGGGGTGTGGCCGATTTTGACTCCACGTGATCACCCATTCATTAGGTGGACCCTGAAAACGATTAGGCTTGGGGACCCGAATGTTGACAGTCGTTAAGTACAGATTTTAACCGTCAACTCCGGTATAAAAAAATAAAATAAAACTAAGTGGTATGGGTTTATTACTAATTATTTCCACCATTAACTTTAAAAAATATATGTATCCAAGTAATTTAAGGAGAAAATACACTCGCCGTACAACGAAAATGAACCTTCGGCTAATCACATACTAGCAGAAGGATTGGAGGGCCCACGTGATACTAAAAACCGACTTGAAATGTGGCCAAACCATCCTTAAGGGCAAGTTTTATAGTAGAGGTGACTACCACATCCAATTTCATACATGACATACATAATTAAATTAAGAGGTGATATGTATAATAGGTTACCTCTACCACACAATCCCCAATATCTCTAACACTTTCACATATTTATTGAAGTTTGTGTAGGGGCTGCCCCTTGCATGAGAGGTGACTATTTCTCTCTAATCCTTTTTCTCTTCTCCACCTCACTATTTAGTCCTATGTAGCATCTTGGGGCTTTGTACTTAGATGCCCATAGTACTTGCCCTAACGTCGTAGGAGCCAATATGTCAGCCACCGACCAAAAGTCAGTGGCCAGAAGGAGTCGCCAAGGAGGCATTCATTGTGCAAGACCAGCACCTCGCCGCCTGCGCCGTGGCGGACGCCAACCGCGTGCTGAGCTTCTGTGACCGGTGCATTAGACCTGGTTTAGTTCCCTAATTTTTTTCCCAAAAACATCACATCGAATCTTTGACACATGCATAGAGCATTAGATATAGATTAAAAAAACTAATTGCACTGTGAGGGGGAGGGAATCACGAGACAAATCTTTTGAGTCTAATTAGTCCATGATTAGCCATAAGTGCTATAGCAACCCACATGGATTATTAGGCTCAGAAGATTCGTCTTCTGCTTTCCAGACGAGTTATGAAATTAGTTTTTTTATTTGTATCTCAAACTTCTTTCGATATCCGATCAAATATCTAATATTACATTAAAAAATTTCTTGTCGGGAACTAAACATGCCCTTATTTGGAAGACCATGCGCGGCATCGCGGTGGCGCACGCCTTCTCACCATCGCAGCCTCGCCGCGGGGCGCGCCGTCGAACGGTCGAAGTTGCGTGTTGGACTTTCTGTTGCAGATCGCGGAAAGGCCGACTTGCTGACATTAACTGCGGCCGGCAGCTGAGGCCTCCGAGTTTCAACGATGAGAAGTAGGCCAGGCTCAGGCATGGGGGAGGACCTGCCGGGACCGGGAGTGAGATTGTCAAGAACTTCCGGTTGTCGACTGTGTTGGCTGTCTTTTTAGCTACAATCCCCATTTTCTGTGAGTAGTACTAGTGTACTACGTAGCTAGATGACTTTGATAATACTATTGCATAATGAGTTTTCCGTACTCATTTGCCGGTATTTTGGTTCCAATAATCAAAGCTCGGAGTACTTGTCATATATATAGCTCCTTTTAACTCTTCTTCCCTGAACATTTAAATAACAACCAAGAGAATAATCCCATGCGAAGCTGATGCACGCGCATGCATCGTAGACAATAAAAAAAACATAAGAGTGAAATATTGACCGGATAACACCTGTCATTTTACTCCCCATAAAATTTAACTTAAAAAAACATATTTACAATGGCATGAATCCAATTTACCCTTTTTTTTGGGCTTTTTGTCTTCTCATATCAGGCCAAATCCAATAGGTGGGATATCGGGCGCTTGGGCTTCAACTCACACACATGTTTATTCTACATTTTTTAAGTTTAGACACTAAAGTTTATACTTTGGTTTACATACTCAAAGTTTATATATCCAATAACAATTTGAATTTAAATTCAACTTCAAAACTTTTAATGTATCTATTTATATTTATAATGTTTATGTATTAGAATATATATTTTTTTAGAATTACACAGTTCAATGCATACACTCACAACGCACGCACACGCGCAAACCCTACCTCTATGAGCATCTTTGAATATTGGGCCAGCAAATCCATCCCAAAGCCGTTAAATCTAAATCCTGGAAAATTCGCTCACATGGAGAATATGGAAACTATAGTGCTACTGAGCCTCTTGTAACTTGTAACCTCTAGGCTAAAGGCCCCTTCACATGCACAGAGATAATTTTAAACATAGTTTTCTTTTCTTTTGTTAGTTTTTTGTTTTTCTATCAAACTAATTGTTTAAATTTGTTTCAAAACCAATCTAAATGCGCACGTGTATTGAAAAATTCTCGTATAAAGAGGAGAAACAAACGCTCGATTTTTGGATTTGTAGACGTTTTGGTATTTTCCTCGTATTGCAAGCCACGGGTACCAAACTAGTATAAGTAGATGCAGCAACAGGTAACAGAATTCGCAAACGCAGGCTCCGACACTCACGCCGAACGCAAACAGAGTGAATTAACCGCCGCAGAAATGGGGCACGAACTCTGGGTGCTATGGGCAACGCTTGCCGTCTCGCTCCTCTGCTACCTCTACCTGACCAGCCACCGCCTGGGCTCCCGACGGCGCCGGTGGCCGCCTGGCCCCCGGCCGCTCCCACTCCTCGGCAACCTCCTGGACCTGCGTGGCGGCAACCTCCACCACACGCTCGCGCGCCTCGCCCGCGCCCATGGCGCCCCCGTCATGCGCCTCCAGCTGGGCCTCTCCCCGGCCGTGGTCATCTCCTCGCCGGGCGCCGCAAGGGAGGCGTTCACCGCGCACGACCGGCGCCTCGCCGCCCGCGCCGTGCCGGACGCCAACCACGCGCTGGGCTTCTGCGACCGGTCCATGATCTGGCTCCCCAGCGCGGACCCGATGTGGCGGACCCTGCGCGGCGTCGTGGCGGCGCACGCCTTCTCGCCGCGCGCGCTCGCCGCGGCGCGCGCCGTCCACGAGCGCAAGGTGAGGGACCTCGTGGCGTACCTCCGCGGGCGCGCCGGGCGGGAGGTGGACGTCAAGGACGCCGTGTACGGCGGCGTGCTGAACCTGGTGTCCAGCGCGCTCTTCTCCGCCGACGTGGTGGACGTGGGCGGCGAGTCGGCGCAGGGGTTCCGGGAGCTCGTGGAGGAGCTGATCGAGTCCATAGCCAAGCCCAACGTGTCCGACCTCTTCCCGTTCCTCCGTCGGTTCGACCTGCAAGGGTGGCGTCGCTGGACATCCGGGCACCTGGCCAAAATCTACAAGGTCCTGGACGACATAATCGACCGCCGGTCGGCCGAGGACGACGCCGCCATGGACAAGCGCGGAGACTTCCTCGACGTGCTGCTGGAGCTCATGTCCACGGGCAAGATCGCGCGGGAGTACCTGACGAACATCCTGTTCGACGTCTTCACCGCCGGGAGCGACACCATGTCGCTGACGGTGGTGTGGGCGATGGCCGAGCTGCTCCGCAACCCGGGCGTCATGGCGAAGGCACGGGCGGAGATCGACGCCGCACTCGGCGGCAGGGAAGCGGTCGAGGAGGCCGACGTGGCGCGGATGCCGTACGTCCAGGCCGTGCTGAAGGAGGCGATGCGGCTGCACCCGGTGGCCCCCGTGATGCTGCCGCGCAAGGCCGCGGAGGACGGCGTCGAGATCGGCGGATTCGAGGTGCCCAGGGGCTGCGCCGTGATCTTCAACACGTGGGCGATCATGCGCGACCCGGCGGCATGGGAGCGGCCCGACGAGTTCGTGCCGGAGCGGTTCGTGGGCCGCAGCCGCGCTACGGAGGAGATGGACTTCAGGGGGAAGGACTTCGGGTTCCTCCCGTTCGGGTCGGGGCGGAGGCTGTGCCCCGGCGTGCCGATGGCGGAGCGGGTGCTGCCCCTCATCATGGCGTCGCTGCTGCACGCGTTCGAGTGGCGGCTGCCGGACGGCATGTCGGCGGAGCAGCTCGACGTGAGCGAGAAGTTCACCACCGCCAACGTCCTGGCCGTCCCTCTCAAAGCCGTTCCGGTCGTGATCGCCTGCTAGCTATTTTTTTCTATATGCACTCTCTGTGATTGTAGCCCTAATTAATGATCTAGCCACTTCACTGTACTTCTCATCTAAATTTAAAACCAGTAATTCAAACATACAGTACCTGAGTGCCGTAATCGTTGCGTAACAGGAGCAGGGTTTAAAATTGCGAAACGAAATTTTCGAAATTTCAGTTCTATCGGAATTTTTATTTTTTTTGTTTTTTCGTGAATTTGGTATTATTTTGTTCAATTTTGATCAAATTTTATTAAAAATTCATATAAGTTCAGATCCAAATATCCAAAATTTCGGTATTTCAGCCACCACCGATACAAATAACCCAACCGAAAGATTAAACCCTGAACAGGAGATGTTTCTTAACCTGTCATAATCTGCAAACACTTTGAAAAAAGTTCCTGTTAGTTGCGTGAACTTGGTTCTATTTTGCTGTTCAAATTATCATGATTGATAGCACGAAATATGGTGTGTTTCGTCCTTATTTGACCAACTGATCCGCGACGTCGAACGGTCGAAGTTGCGTGTTGGAATTTCCGTTGCAGGTCAGAAAAGCCGCCATGCTGACATTAACTGCGGCAGCTGAGGCCTTCGAGTTTCAACGATGAGAAGCAGGCCAGGTTCAGGTATGGGGAAGGTCCTGCCCGGGAGTGAGATTATCAAGGAGTTTACTTCCGGTTGTCAACTGTTGGCTGTCTTTTTAGCTACAATCCCCATCTTCTTTCAGTGGTATTACGTAGCTAGATGACTTCGACAATATAGCATAATGAGTTTTTCGTACTCATTTGCCGGTATTTCGGTTCCATGCAAAAATCAAAGCTCGGAGTACTTGCCCCATATATATATATATGTATATATACATATATATATATATATGTATATATATATATATATATGATAGCTCTATTCTACACCCTCCTCTTATCCCACCCCACGAGGCCCACCTCCTGATCCCGCCCCCCTTTCTCTCTCGATCTCTCTTCCATCTCCCCTCTCCTGGCGCCCCTTCCTCCCTTTTTTTTCTCTCTCGATCTCTCTCCCATCTACATTGGATAGAAAATTTTAAAACTAATTAAAAGTGACAAAACCAAGGCTTGAACCCATGACTCATGGTTCAAAGAAATGCTTTATTAACTAATTCACCTTATGACATCTTGTGATTAGAGTTTGTTGTTTCAGTTTTATATATCTCTATTTAAACTTTGTGAGAGCAAATCACTTATATTGTTGTGGAACTTATAATCTGTTATAATGTTCCAATAGTAACATTATTGTAAAAGTGCAGTATCATGTAACGTTACTGCAAAAATATAAATATATAGATTGTTACTGCAAAAATATATAGGTTGTTACTGCAGCTTTGACAGTAATATCCCGTGAAAATTATAGTAACACAGAGCATGTATGTAGTAGTAACGGTACTTCTACAGACTATCGAATGTTGTTACTACAAGAAAGTAATCATGTTACTATAATATGGTCATCTTGTTACCGCACAATTCCTACGAGACGAGTGCACCAAAGAGGTGGGCGTAGAGGGAAGGGAGCAACACAAATGATACATAGTAGCAAACTAAACACAAATGGATTATTTGAAATTCTAATCTTTAAACAATCATATCTCTCGCATCACATATTATATTTTTGAACCGTTTCCACCATAATGCTTTAAAAAAGAGCTTTATAAAACTAGATCCATCATCGCTATATTTTGACAACGTTATAATATTGTTACTGCGAGAAGTAACCCTGTTACTGCACGATGGTCGTCTTGTTACTGCATAATTCCTGTGAGACAAGGACAACAAAGAGGTGGACGTGGGGGGAATTGAGTGGGCGGGTTTGACCGGTGGAGGATGCTTTGACCGCCCTTTTGACTAAGATGGGAGGTGGGTTTCGGGCCCTAGGGAGGGTGGGGGAGGTGGGTTTGATCCATGGGAGGGGGGTGTAGAGAATAGTCTATATATATATATATATATATATATATATATATATATATATATATATATATATATATATATAGAGAGAGAGAGAGAGAGAGAGAGGAGAGTCAAGGGATGACACAGAAGGAGATGTAGGCACCAAGTGGAGGACCGTCTATCAGAGATGCAATTGATGATGGTGACTCGAAGGAGATGAAGGAATAGAAGATTTCAATAGAGGAGAGTCAATGAATGACACAGAATGGGACAGATGCACCAAGTGGAGGACCGTCCATCAGAGATGCAATTGATAATGGTGACTCGAAGGAGATGAATATTCTCTGATGGACGGTCCTCCACATGGTGCCTACGTCCTCTTCTATGTCGTCCCTTGACTCTCCTTTATATATATATAGCAAATCTGTACACCCGGGTGTACGTACTCCCTCCTTCTTGTTGGATATCCATTAGTTGATAATGGATAGTCTGGTTAAGAATTAAAAAATAGTAATATTCATTTTATTTTTAAAATTCTGCATATGCGAGCTGCTATTCTATTGTTTTTCTTTTCAAATTTTTGCATGCATGCACACCGGACCGTGAGGAATTAATGGCCAGATTCAAAATTTGAGATATACTATTTCCTTAGTAGTTAGTCGATCGAAGTATATACTCTTTTCAAAAACTAGTAGTATAAACTATTTTTTCAGTAATGGTCTGTTCTGTTTAGCGGAAAAACGTACTAATATTTTTCAGTATATACTGTTCTTTTAGCTACTAGTAAACAACTTTATTTTTTGTTGATACACAACTCCACACCGGATTTGGTTCACAATTGAACGAGGCCATGCATTTGGTTCCGAATTTAATAATGTACCTATCTAACTATCCTTAGTAGTACCAGTATTTATCACCATTTAGAACAGTATTTACCAACATTTAGAATTGGTCGTATATAGATCACTCCTATATACCATTTTTTCCTAGATCGGTGGTATATACTGCTCTCTCTTTTTTTCAAGTAGTATATAAGTAGTATGTACTTATATTTTCAGTATTATGTACCGTTTTAAGGAGTATGTACTGTGTTTTCAAGAATCCAGTGTATACTCGATCTGTTAATTAGGTGTATGTACTGTTTTTTATCAAGTATTCAGTATATATACTAACTCAGTCGGTTAAGAAGTATGTTCTTTTTTTTAGTATCCGGTATATGTATATGTATATGTATATATATGTATATATATATGTATACATATATATACATATATATACATATATATACATATATATATATATACATATATATATATACATATATACATATATACATATATACATATATATATACATATATATATATACATATATATATATACATATATATATATATATATATACATATATATATATATAGCTTTTAACTCTTCTTCCCTGAACATTTAAATAACAACTTCGAAAAAATCCCACGCAACGGTGATGCATGGGCATGCATCATAGACAAGTATATGAAAAACATAAGAGTAAAATATTGACTGGATAACACCTGTCACTCTTAAAAAACAATACGATATCTCTATAAATTTTCATTCTCAGCATTGCTCACTAGTTTTTCTAAATTGTTTGTTGCTAGATCTATAATATATAATATTTAATGCATCCCTATAAGCAATTTTCTTTAATCTTCTTGATCTTGTAAAAAGGAAAGTAGACTTAGTTTGTTTACGAAACATTGGTAACACTTAAAAATAATGCATTTTTTCTTTTTGGAAAAAAATCCCTTTTACTCCCACCGAACTATTTTGCCACAGCGCTTAACCCCCTAAATTAATTTTCGGCTTATTTTACACAACAAACTAGTGAAAACGGTTCATCTTATAATGCAGGTACCTGCCACCTTTATCAAATTACATCATGCCACATGAGCCTAGTCCACTCGGCCCATGTAACATCCTGTAGTTTTAATAAACAATTTAAGTCGAAATCTTGTACGTTCTTAGTAATAGATGGATATTTTAAATCTATTTGTGTTTAAAACCTGGTCGATTAATTTGTGTATATAAAAACAGGTATAAACTAACACCATTTACCCAAACCCTTGGTTTGAGATATTATGAAACCATAGATATCATTATAGGGGAAATCTTCTAGAAAAATAACCCTACAACCTTATGGTAGAAAAAGGTCACACCCTGATTTTCATTTTTAGAATTTATATTAAATGTTCTTTAATTACAAATGAAGTAAAATGTGAGAAATAAAATTTCCTTATTAAAACATGGTTTGATTTAATTTTTATTAAATTCTCCATGATTAATTACACTCTCGAATTTTCTCGGATTTTTGAGAGCTCATATTACTAATTTTAATAATACAAAGATTTTTTTTGGTACTTATATAAATGAAAATAAATCTTCAATTTGTTTCAGCCCATACCCTTCTCTCTCTCACCACGCCCGCCGGCCAACCTCTTTTTCTTTCCGGCCAAAATATAAGTTTCGTCCTCCCACGGGCTCAAAGAAGGAAGAAAAATTATACATTTCCTCCCACAACAGTGTCTTCAACCACGAAATCCCCTCGAACCCGTAAAGATTTTGCAAAATTGTTAAGGGGAAATCTTTCCCTTTTCCTCCTTTTCTTTCCCCCCGAAAAATCCGACAACAAATTCTCTTGTCCTAGTGTTGCTCTCTTCCTCCCCCGCCTTTAAATAGAATCCCCTAATCTCCTCTCTTGTTTCCACTCTTTGCCCTAGGCTCTCGTCGTTCGTAGCGCCGCCACCATCGTTTGTTGAACTCTAGTTGAGCCCCACCGCCGTTTCCGTTGCCACCAGAGGTCATCATCGCCACCTCTTCGTTGCCATCGTCAATTGCCAGAGCGTCACCACCATCGCCGACCAACCTCACCACCAAAAGTTGGCCGTCGTCATCCATCCTTGCTGCACCCCTTGTGAGTTCCTTGAGTCACGCTTGTCCTTCCGGTGTCCTTCGTTTCTGCCGTCGTGGCGTGGAACGCCAGCGTCCTTCCGGTTCGACGTCGGTCATTGCAAGTGAGGTGACATCAGCGCCACATTGTCTGCCTCTTCAGCTGCCACCTCAGCCCTTCGCTTGCATTGCCGCTTGCGTGTTTTGCCCGTGTGGCATCCATCTGGATTCAATCTTGGCCGTATGATCTCGGTCAATTCCCAGTCAAGATCTATCTCA